ATTGGCCTAGCATAATAACTAAACTGTATTTTATTAATATTTATATGATAAAAATACTCTTATTTGTAGCACAGAAGTATTTATTGAAAAAAATAATTTTAAATTTATTTTTACAGTCGTTAATGTTCGGTTATATACGCGCTATGAGAAATTTTCTCCACAGGCCCTGTGGCGCAACGGATAACGCGTCTGACTACGGATCAGAAGATTCCAGGTTCGAATCCTGGCAGGGTCGACTACTTTTTTATTTTTTTTAATTAAAAAAAAATATTTTTTTAAAAATCGTGGCAGGGTCGGCAACTTTTTTATTTTTTTTTTAATTAAAAATTATTTTTTTTAAGTAATATAACATCTGTTAATTTAATTTTAATTTTAGTTCATACAATCAAACGCATCACTACCAGCAAATCCATCTTGGACCTATCAAAGATCACACAGTGCTGACTTTGGATATCCAGACCGGTAAAGTTTTGGGAAAATGGGGTGCTGACTTGTTCTACATGCCTCACGGATTGACAATTGACAGGCATGACAACCTGTGGATCACGGATGTGGCCTTACATCAAGCTTATAAGGTATTTTACCTTAAATTATTTTTTTTATGAAATAAATTATTCAAAATTGTAGTATAGAAAAGTATAGAATTTACAGAAGGTAAAAATACAAAATTTTCTGTACTTAGATTTTTTGGCCTCTGGAATGTTTTATACATCATTACTATTATTGCTTTGGATTTTTTGTATACAGGGTGCTACAAATTCGAGGTACAAGCATTGTTATCTCGGTAACCGTAATAGAACATGGTAAATGTAACCGTAATAACCGTAACCGAACATGGTTAAATTGGGGCAAAGTAGAGCTTTGGAATGTTCACCAAGATGCCATCAAAAAGTTTTAAAAATTTCAAGGATTGCTGAGTTTTTTGGAAAAAACGGATTTTTTTGAAAATCAATTTTATTTTTTCATGTTGTTTTTTTTTTCAGAAAACCAAAAAACTAATTAGACATTCTCATAGCCTCTTTATTAGGGCTATCTGATAGTATTTATAGATGTCATAGATCGTCATTTCCAAGCCAACTGGACGCCATTTTTTTCGATCATACGGTATTATGCATATTATTAGATCGTACACTGAGATTCCAAATTCACAATAAAATAGTTAAAAATAATATCTTTAAATTGCTGACCTGGATATTATTTATTTGAATCTTTCAATTGGCTCGATTTTCCTTATTCAATGTTAATTAGCGCTGATCAATATTATTGCGACGAATATAATCAGATTAAATAGTTTAAAAAACCAGAGTCGGACTTGAAATTATTTTAAATAGTAATTAAATAGTTTTGTTATTGTTAAGGTACCCAAAACAAAAAAAAGTATCAAATGTGGCATATCATTGCACTCAGGAGACCGAGTTCTTTCAAAATTTGAAATAAAAAACGCAGGTCCGTATTTAAGAAAATTAAGTTGGCCTCTGTATCTCGCAAACTTTCAGTTAATTTGAAAATCTAAAAATACTATCAGATAGCCCTAATAAAGTGGCTATGAGAATATGTAATTAGTTTTTTGATTTTCTAAAAAGTAACGACAGCAAAAAATAAAATTGATTTTTCCAAAAAAAACTCAGCAATCCTTGAAATTTTTAAAACTTTTTTGATGGCATCTTGGTGAACATCCCAAGGAGGCAACTTTGCTCCGATTTAATCATTTTCGGTATCTATTACGGTTTCCGAGATAACAATGCTCGGTACCTCAAATTACCCTGTATAATTTAAAATTTTAAATGTTTAGTTTAAACCTGGTGAGCTGGAACCGACTCTGACCTTCGGCGAGAGATTTACACCAGGATCCGACTCTAAACATTTGTGCAAACCTACATCAATCGCGGTAGCAACTACAGGGGAAATATTCATTGCTGACGGGTACTGCAACAGCAGGATACTGAAATACAATGCTGCAGGAGGGTTACTGAGGGTTATACCAAACCCACCAGGTAAGATATTAACATAATTTATTTAAAATCAATTGTCTAATATGTCCACTGTCTAATATTCCTCAGCCAAGACATTTTCTTCCTTCCGATACTCCTCCGGCCTTCGATCTTGCCTTCTATCAACAAATGCAAGAATTGATATTTGGTGTTTCGCATTATGTGCCCCAGGTATACGGTCTTTTTCTTTTTAATCAATTCAAATAATTCACGCTCTTTGTCAACGCGTCTGAAAACTTCCTCATTTGTCAATCTAGCCGTCCAAGGTATCTTCACGATTCTGCGATATAGCCACATCTCAAAAGCCTCCAATTAGTTAATGGTAGCTGCTTTTAATGTCCAACCTTCCATACCATAAAGGAGCACCGACCACACATAACACTTTACGAATCTTAATCTAAGACTAAGGTCAAAATCAGAACAGATAAGTACTTTTCGAAACCTCAAGAATGCCTACCGAGCTTGTTCGATGCGACATTTAATTTCCTTGTCTGATGTCCAATCTTCGGAGAGCCAGATGCCCAAGTACTTAAATTTATCTACTCTTTCTATGGGCCTTGAGTTAAATATTAGGATGGAGTTTATAAACATATCTGGGTTTCTGGATATAATCATAAATTTGGTTTTCTTGATGTTGATGTTTAAACCCATTGCTTTGCTCTGTTCTCCTACCTTATTGACCAGTTATTGTAGGTCGTGTATATTGTCTGCAATTAAGACCGTATCGTCGGCATAGAGGATATTAATTGAACATAGATTATCATATTTTTTCTTTTACTTTGTTTCAGAGTTTCTTTCATTGCAAATACCTCATTCTCTGGCACTGATCGAGTCCATAGATAGGTTATGTATAGCTGATAGGGAGAATATGAGGGTTGTATGCCCCAGGGCAGGACTCTACAGCGCACAGGGCAAGAAGGAGCCTGCCCTGACCATTCAACAGCCCGATATGGGAAGGGTGTTTGCTGTTGCTGCAAAAGGTTAGGAAAAATAATCTATTTTAACTATCTTTTCAGTAATAACTAATTATAATAGGTTGTTATTTTTTATACAAGACGATAAAATGGTATTTTATCATCGTGTATATAAAACAATATTTTTTCCATAGCCAGTTACGTTTTAAAAAATATTCAGAAATTATTATTTCAAGGAATTTATTACAAGGAGTAGAAAAAATATTGTGCTGGGTTGGCGTTGGTTTCTATGTAATTTGGCAAATAAATAAAGCTGTCTCTTTAGTTGTCAGTTTTGAGTCAATATTTTTTAATTCTCTTTCGTGTCGATTGCTGATTGAATTGGAGCCAGAAATGGCTCAAAACGAAATAAGTAAATTACCAACAGATATTCAGGCTGAGGCGATAAACGCCATATCCAAACTACTTCCATTTAAATCTCGAATAACTTATGAAAAGGAATACAAAAATTATCAAAAATGGAAGCAATTAAAAAACGTGCGAGAAGACGGCAATATATATATAGGCAATTTCAACAGTTGCTATGGAAAAAAATAATTTTTTTACTTGATTTCTAGGAAAACTGATTTATGCAGTAAATGGTCCCACTAACCGGATGTTACCTATCCAGGGGTTAACTATAGACCCCGAAACAGAGTCTGTGATAGATCATTGGCAACCTGAAGAGGTAAATATAAAAATAAATCGTTACTTTATAATAATATGTATACCAGCTGACCCTTTTTTCTCTTTAAACACTTATAATTAAATATACTTTCCGATATTTCTTTTTTTTAAATAAACCAAAAACTATTTTTTTGACAAAATGGTGAAGGAGATGTAGAGAGAATGGTAGCTAGATATCCTGTGCTTTTAGCCTCCATAATCATGATCATGAGTTATAAAAATGAACTTTATGAAATTCGGCAGTGTTATTTGTAGCGATAATGAACTAATATGTCTTATTTTTGTTCTTTTTGAATAAAATAAATGTTATTCTTCTTTTTTTTACAGGGTTTCACCAATCCTCATGACATCGCCGTGTGTGCAAATGGTTCTGCACTGTACGTAGCAGAAATAGGACCCAACAAAATTTGGAAATTTGAGTTGGTACCTCCAAAGAAATAAATTAAAAAACCTTTTAAAAATAATTTATTTTAATTTAAATTTTATTTTTTTTTTCATTCAAAAAAATTGCGTTAAAAATTTTTATTTTATATTTATTTCGTAAAAATTTAGACAAAGATTTAGACATATAAATATATCAACTAGTGCATAATATACAAAATAAATTCTTGTTTAAAAAAATGGCATAGTTAAGGTAAAATATTATTTTTTTTTATTTTTGGAATTTTATAAACAGAAAAAAAAGCCTTCTTGGTAAAATATCATTATAAGCTATAAAAAACATGTGTATGTTGTAGTACGTGCTAGTACTTATACTTAAAACAGTATTGTCATTTTTGTATATTTTTTCAAAGTACCTATATGTATGTAGAAAAATAATAAAGACAAATTAGGATTATTACTATTATCACCGTAGTAAATAAATAAAGTTTATCCATATATTGTACATTAGAAAAAATAGATAATAAAAAATATGATTTTTTGTTATACTAGGAATATTGTGTTATATTTGAATTTATATTTGACATTGACAAGGTTTAAAAAAAAACGAATAGACAATAAAATTGAATATATCGTTTTTGTTTATAATATGTAATTATTTTTATTTAATAAAGTATTGTTTTTGACTTAAAATTATGAGTTTTATTTAATTATTAGATATTAATAATACATCTAGGTATTATGGTATTCTGGTATTTCGTCGATTTTAAAATAAAGTAATTGTTTCTATCTTATTTTTTTGTTAGAATGGGCATAATCAAGAGAGCTACTGATACCGTGTTGTAAAAATAAGGTAATTAAGCGCTTATTTTTGGTATTTATTATAATTTTGCTAATATCTTCGGTTTGAAAGCAGATATCAAGATGCGGTTTTCGCTGACTTTTTAACCTTTTACTACTCTTTACTATCAGCTAAAATAACACAAACTATCGTATTTAATTTTTTTGAAAAGACGCGTTATGTTTCTTAAATTGTAAGAAAGCGCCCCCTAGCGTCTACGTTCAAAACCTATTATTATTGTTTTTATGGCATAATATAGAGTAAGAAACGCTCTTTTAAACGAGCCCTCGTTTGTTGGATTCTGATCATCCAGTCCGGAGTTATTAATATTTAAATAAAGATAGATCTAACCTTCCC